TAAAAGCTCAACTGTTGTTTTTATGTAATCAGCTGATGCTTTGTGGGACACAGACAGATGTTTGTGACGTTGGACCCGTCTGGGTCAGAACCGGGCTGAAGCATGTGAATGAGAAGCTCAGAGAGCTGCAGGAGTCCAGGCTGACTGGTCTGACCAGAGAGAGGAGAGGAAGTGATGGTGTTTGATGGTCGTTCCACAGGTCTGAAGACTCCGACCGCCTCCGTCAGGTCCCCCTGCAGCCCGCTGAAGGCGACTCCTCCCGGATTCCCCAAGACTACCGCCCCGCTGCAGAGGTTCGGCCGACCCAACGGCTCAGGTAAGCAACTCAGCAGGTGTGCTTGCCAACATACAGACACCCATCTCCCCATCACCTCAGATCTAAAGACTGCTTACATACATGCCCCCCACCCACCCACCCACACACACACACACACACACACACACACACACACACATCCTGTAATATTTTAAATGAAGGATTGTTTCTTGTCAGATTTGGTTCTCACTCGTGTTTTAAAGGCGAGGTGACCTCATGCTGCCTTCAGGGAACACCGGAGTTTAACTGCAAACCATCAGGAGGTTTTGCCGGGGGGGGGGGGGGGGGGGGGGGGGTTCTTACAGTTTCTCCTCCGTGAGCAGTGCATGCAGAGTTAGCATTCAAGCTAGGTCAGTGTGCCGATGCTGATATGTGAAAATGATGAATATCAACTAGTTCCAATGTCCCGTTCCAATACTGATGTTGGATATCGGTCCAAAAACGCTACCGGATTATATCTGACTGCATCAGCAATCCCCGATATCAGCAACACGTTTAAATACCATTCCAGCAATTTTTCCATCAGCGCCCAGATCCAGCATGCAAACTCCGCATGATCAGAACCGTGTGTGCTAGCAAGTAGCGAGGAACAGTGCCAGCCATGTGGCTGTATTTTTTACTCAGTGCAGCACTCGTCATGCACAAGTTTCCCGCGGTGGAGCGGAACCGGGGAAGTTGAATACGTCCAACCTCATCGTGCATTTGAAGCAGGATCACAAAACATTGCAAGAGGATTTTCTCAGTGTGTGAAATTGAAACTTTAGAAGCTCAACTTTTAATATTACTTATTATTGTACGATATTGTGGTTTTTTTCCCTTATGTCCCAAACCTCAGCTGTTCACATTCATGCAACCAAAGGTAATAAAAAAATTGGTCAGTTTGTTATACTTACTGTTGCTGGCTTTTGTTTTCTGTTTGAGTAATGTCACTGGATCTGCCCTTTACACATTCCACACTACTAAACAGGTAAAAGTATGTAGGATTTGTGCTGATATCGGTATCGGTCGACACTGGAGGCTGCAACATCGGTGTCGTATCGGAAGTGGAAAACGTTGTATTGGGGCATCCCTAATATCAAACTGATATATCGGTCAATGCCTGCTCCATATTGGTCAGGTGAGTGGGCGGGGCTTCCAGACATTTAGTCGGACAGAACTTGGTGGAGCCTGAAAACATAATCTTGTGGCTTCCGCAGAAGAAGGCGGAGCCTCGTGGTCCCACTGCCCCACTGGAAAACTGGTTTTATTCGTGTTATGTTCAGTTTGCTACTGGGAATGGAATCAGCTCTACCAAGTCTAGCCTGGTTCAAACCGGAATCAGGTGGAATGTTGAAAGCAGGTTGGGAGTGATTCTCTGCCTACAGAGGATGAGTCGCTGACGTCGTTAGGTCCGTTTTAGGGGGGCTTCAGCCCCCCTAGAATAATCACAAGCCCCCCTATCATTTTGGTTTATTTTATTTTTTTCAGTAAACTTTTTTTTATTTGTTCACATCTACATGCTCAACACAATCACGACATGTGTAGTTGGTACATGAGTTTTTTAGTCTGAAACAGAAATAATAATTAATGAATATAGAACTACACCGTCGCACACAGGAAGTATCAAGAAAGGACTTCCTCCACTTCCCGCAGCTTTGTTGACAAGTCAGGGGGCGGGGCGATACAGCAAAACCTATATATCGTTGAGCAAACCCTGCTCAGCGCTCATGTAAGTCACTCAACATCACATTAGGGTAAGACAGCAACAGCAGCACACTGTTAATATTTCAAGGTTATAGTTCAGACTTCAGAGAGAGGAAAATGCTACCGCACCGACATGCTAACGCTAACTCCGCTAGCATGTTTACATGCCGCAAACCTTAACGAAAAGCTTTGATGTCAAGTTAAATGGTCAGAAAACTCCCCTGAAGTGACATGATTAACCACCCAGCCAGTTCATTGAGTGACTTAGTGCCACCAACTTGAGAGTACAGTAATGAGTCTGCACAAACAGAACCTGCTCTGCGCTTGTGTGCAGCAGCTGCAGCCCTCTGTGGGCTCAACTCTGTGAGCATGCAAATCTCTCCCTTCTTTCAACAAGTAGCCTCTCCAACACTCAATCACAGACAGCTCTGTTTTATCCAATCAAAGCATGTCCAGGAAACACTGCTTTACAGAAAAACACCCATTTAACAGCTTATTAAACTGCTTTCTGCTGCTGGTTAGCTACCAGTCACCATCCACTGCCTGCAAGATACTTTGTTGTAATTCATGTGTCATGATTAGGGTGACCATATTTGACTTCCAGAAAAGACACATCGCCCATTCCTAAAACTGTTAAATTGCACTCTTTTCAGTTAAAGAGGACTTTTAATTTCAACATATAAAGTGTTTCTTCTCTGTTTGGTCAGACATAAATGATCCCTTGATGTGTAAAAGGAAGTGAACAGTGGAAATGTCCCAGGAAAAGAGGAGGGTTAATCAACCTAATTAAATATAATTATATAAAGTCCTCTTTATCTGAAAAAAGTGCAATTTTCCTGCCAGTATTTCCTGGACATGAAACTGGCTGTTTACTATATTATAGATACATATATGTACCTATAATATATTATATATATATATTATAGAAAAATATATATAATATAGAAAAATGGTCAATAATATACACATTCGGCCAGATTCTGATTCAGGTTTTTAGTGTGGAGTGATTTTTGTGCCACCAACTGGAGCGTGCAGTGATCAATCTGCAAGAGTAACACCTGCTCTGCAGTCGTATGCAGCCCTCTCTCTGCATGCTCAACTCCGTCTCTGCCTGCACAAATCTCCCTGTTGTTGCTCAATTTGCAATTTTTAAAGCAATGTAGCCTCTCCGTCAGCCAATCAGACAGCTCTCCATTATGCAATCAAAGCATGTCCAGGAAATACTGGCAGGAAAATTGAGCAACAACAGGGAGATTTGTGCAGGCAGAGACGGAGTTGAGCATGCAGAGAGAGGGCTGCATACGACTGCAGAGCAGGTGTTACTCTTGCAGATTTATCACTGCACGCTCCAGTTGGTGGCACAAAAATCACTCCACACTAAAAACCTGAATCAGAATCTGGCCGAATGTGTATATTATTGACATTTTTCTATATTATATATATTTTTCTATAATATATATATATAATATATTATAGGTACATATATGTATCTATAATATAGTAAACAGCCAGTTTTATATATGTCACATATATTCAAAAGCTACATCAAAACATATATTAAAACCTATATGTTTATGACTTCTTTCCATGTGGGTTGTCAATTGCTTAATATTTCCTTTGTTTACCTATGGTAAAGAAAGGAGATATTGTACTCATCTAACTTTAACATAAATTTTGGCAGCTCGATGTGACGTTATGGAAAATGCCATCATCATGAGCAACCAAACATGGGCTATATTAGGCTATCAGTTGTCCATATTCTGTCCCATTTATCCACCAATGGCTGTTTCAATTATTGTGAGTGAAAACTGAATGGTATAGTAGCATTTGTCTTGGCATTAGAAACTGAAAATGTTTTTCAATGTGTTGGCTAGATGGATATACGAAGATTTTTTTAAGAGAGTGAGTGAGGAACAGGAGAGAGACCAGATGGTTGATGCTGAGGAGATCTGCATGGTCAAGGTCAGAGATCTACAGTGAAAACAGGGGCGAGCGCATCGTTATGAGCATTTACCTGAGCACAAAGTTCCCAAGCAAATCTGAACAGTTTTCTATTTAGGAGTGAACATGTAAGAGACATTGAGAAAAAAACAACTATAATTATCATCTGACCTGCAACCTTATGTCAAGTTGTATCTGTATAGTTGACTTTCTGTATTATAAGTTCTACTACTTGCTGGATATTTTTACATATACTGTTATTTTGTCTTGTAATAGTTAATTACACACTCCTTTATTCCATATCATAGCAGTGTTATTCATATATTAAAACTGTCAACTGCACACTCATTTGGCAGAATAAAAGTTTGACAATTATTCATTTGTTCTTTATTGTCACATTTCAGTAACATTTATAATTAAACAAGTTGTAATTAAACAAATTAAATAAATGACTACAACATTTCCCCCTGTTAAGTGCAGTAGACTGAAATGAATAGCTTTATTTGGAAATATAACATATCTCATTTTTAATGGACTTACATAGAATCTTTCTTCAACATAAACCCCACTAATGAACTGATTAAGTGTTATTTTTTATAAAAAGAAGAGAGAAAATGCACAAAAGTAGGAAAGGAAAGGAAAGTGATAAAATAATAGCTTTTGTTAAATGTTCTTCATATAATGAATTAATTGACAAAGTTTTTGCAGATTGTGACAAAAAACGTTCAAGGTCAAGCTCCTGGGGCTAAGCCCCCCCTATATCTCAATCCTAGTGACGTCCATGGGATGAGTTCTGGTTTCTTGTTCCTGACGGTTGTTGGGCTGGAGGAGAGATGACCCGTGGACTTCATGAGTTTGTTGTGATGAAGAAAAGAAGCTGAGCTGAAAGGTTCTAGATTTACTGATCCATCTCTAAACCCTCAACTTTGGTCCCAAGATCCAAATCCAGATGGAAAGAACCAGATTTTGGATGATCTCCTGCACTGGTGTGTTTTATCCCCTGAGGACCAGGGGAGGAGCTCCTTCTACAGTAGAGGTAGCTGATGTAGTCCAGGTACCTGGTCAGGGTCCTCTAGAGGTGTGGTGTTCCGGTTCTCCTCCTATTTGGTGTCAGAATCCCTCTGGATGTGTATCTCTCTCGGAATCCTTCAGGAGGGGTTGGAGAGGGAGAGTTTAGTGTGTCTGTGTGTGTGTGGGGGGGGGGGGATGAGCGACAGAGGGGGATTATTAAGATCCCTCTCTCCTCCCCTGCAGAATCCTCCCTGTGTGTGTGTGTGTGTGTGTGTGTGTGTGTGTGTGTGTGTGTGTGTGTGTGTGTGTGTGTGTGTGTGTGTGTGTGTGTGTGTGTGTGTGTGTGTGTGTGTGTGTGTGTGTGTGTGTGTGTGTGTGTGTGTGTGTGTGTGTGTGTGTGTGTGTGTGTGCGCGCAGCGCGCGGTGCAGCAGCGGGAGGGGGTGTAGGTCTCGTCTTTGTGTGTGTGTGTGTGTGTGTGTGTGTGTGTGCTTCCGTGATGTTCAGCTGTGTTTTTGAGTCCAGCAGCAGCAACAGACGACTGATCATCCTGCTGCTCCTCCTCTTCCTCCTCCTCCTCCTGCGCATCATCACAGGAGCAGAGCGTCACTTCCCTCCTCCCTGCCTCCATCCACACACGCCTCCACCTCTTTCTCGTCGATGTTTCTCTACCTGAACGACGGAGAAGAAACCTACTGTTTTGGCGCCATTTTTCCCCTCTTCCATTGGCTGCGGGACAGAACCGAGCTCGTCTCCGTTTGAGGTTCCGGTTTTCCGGCCATGAAGGGCAGCAGGAGGATTAACAGGCTTTGATTCCCGTTGAGTCTCTGAATCGAGCTGAGATTTGGTTTTAAAACGGAATCTTTAGTCTCCACGTGGCTTCAGAGGGATTGAAAACAAAACAAGCTGTTTTATTTTCTTAAGTAAAGAGAACAAAGACTCTTATTTTTGAGGATTTTCGCACAGATTTGTTTTAATAGAAAGGTCATTCCTTCGGATTCCTTCAGCTCTGGATATTCCAGGTTCCTTTTGTTCCTTAGAGGGTCACAAACCAGCCAGCCTTGGAGGACAATCTGAGACGATGTTATGGTCTCCAAGACTCTCGCTGTCCAACTTCCACGTGAAGCTGACGGCAAAAGGACTTTTCCGAAACCTTCAGCTTCTCCCGGGATGCAGGAAAAACACGGTGGTCTTTCACGCAGGTCTGGATGTGTCCTCTTTTCCTCCTTCGCCCACCCTTCCACCACTTTCTCTCATCTCCTCCTCCATCATCTCCTCCACCCTCCCACCACTGCTTCATCCCTTTAGCTGTTTTAGATTGAAACTTCCAGTTTTTTCCTCCTCATGTGCTCCAGGCCTGAAACGCTCTGAAGCTCCTTCCTCCAGGGAGGAGAAAGTGGGTGGAGCTGAAGCTGCCACACCCAGACACGCCAGCTCCTGGTGTTTTTATCCTAAATGTTGTTTGAGTTTTTATTCCCTTGTCTAAAAATAGGACCCCCCCACAACACACACACACACACACACACACACACACACCTCCTTCTCCTCCTCCCCCCACAGCTGCTCAGCAACTATTGTTGCCTCCCGAATCTCCTTTCTGATATCCCTGCTCCTCTAGAGAATCGTGTGTGTGTGTGTGTGTGTGTGTGTGTGTGTGTGTGTGTGTGTGTGTGTGTGTGTGTGCGTGCGTGCGTGTGTGTGTGGACTCTTTCTGCACGAGTGCGCCAGCGCTAGCGTGATGAATAACCATGAAACATGGCTGCTCCCACGTGACTGAAGCAGCTTCAGACTCGTCTGTTTTTCTGCCACCAGATGAATCCATATGTGGTCTCAGGGTCAGTGACGTTTCTTCATTTTAACACCAGTTCTGGTTCTGGTTCTGGTTCTCCTCCTGATTCAGTATTGAATGACTTAAAATAAAAAAAACAGCAGCAAACCAAAACCAGGCCCGATACCAGTCTCGGACCTACTAAGACTGATTTGTGTCAATAAATAAAATTTAACAGGAAACACTTTTTCTGACTAACTTAACTTTCTCATTCTGGGAGCAAAAACCTCCCACTTAGGAAAGACGTGATCCATGACCAGGAAGCGTGTCAGATCTTTGCTGCTTGTCGTCGGTGTGTTCAGATATTTGAGTTCCTGATCAGCAGCGTAATCCGAGCATACTGAACGTTGGCCAATTCCGATCAGCTGCTGATTTTTTTTTGCTAAATCTCTGATTAAAACGTTCCGTTTTGATTTGGAGGAGCCTGATTGGTTTCTGGGTTCTGGATTGTGGATGTGTTGGACTGAGCTGCCCTCCAGCATCTTCTGATGGTTCTGACTCTGGTTCTGCCAGAATCGTGGATTACTCTGAAGCTGTTCTCCACGTGTCTCTGAAAATTAATCTTTTACAACGTTGAAAATCTAGTTTCCTGTTCAGTACTAAACCTTGTGTAAATCCAGTGTGTTCAGCTCACACGTGGTTCTGTTGTGAACACACACACACACACACACACACACACACACACACACACCAAAGGACAGCGCTGGGAGGAATCCCGCTCATCCATCTGAGCTCAGCTGCACGTGTTCGGCTGCTCTGGGGCGGAGATCCACAGACCCACTTCCAGCTGAATGTAGGTTAGATCGGCTTTAGTCATGTCAGTGCAGAGCTTCAGCTCAGGCCGGCCAATCAGGCCAGCTCTAATCTAACGGTGGGAGGAGACAGCAGCTGGATTATAATCTGGGACGAGAAACGATTATTTAATAATAAAACTGGGTGAAGATGTTCTGTGTGAATTGTATCTGTTCGGGTAAAAACGTTAAATCAGCTGATTGTTCGACACATCTGGTGGCTCAGCATCTGTTCAGGTTTTAGTTTAGACCCGAGTAGTCCTGCACCTCCTACAGGTGACTTGCTGCACACCTGATTCACGCGGTTTCAGTTTGGCTCAAACATTCCGGTTGCGGTGTGTAAAGTTGATGGAAGACATGTCCTGGAACACGTCAAACCTTCAATTCTGTCTCCGACGTTATTATTCCTGTTGCTTGGATACTGAAGGCTTTATTTGGATGTGAACGAGTCACAGAGTGGAGGACGTATGTGCACCAAGTGCCCTGCACACCTGTTTCCATGGTAGCGAGCGAGCGTGTGTGGGAGCTGAAATCGGAGTGAGAGGATTTTATTTTAGTCCTGCAGGCAGTTCTGTTGAGTTTCAGTCGAGTAGCAGATGTTGAAGTAACAAATGAGAACATGTGGAGATGCACCAATTCTGATTTTGAGGGCCAATACCAATTTCCAGTGCTTTTACAGGTCTGACCTGCCGCTCCCAATTTTGGCCAATGCCAACTTCTCTGAAAGAATTAAGAATTATCGGAATACATTTTTAGAAATAATTCTGATTGTGGAAGTGAAACCTCCCACTTGGAGGAGCTGGTATTGGTGGTGTGGATTAGCTCGGATTGATAGAGATGTCGGCCTCTTCATTCCAAAAGAAATATTAAAAATCTCTTCTTCTATAAAACAGTCCATTCTGATCCCCAGCTGACCTTCTGATGCTCTCCGGGTTCATCCTGCAGATTTAACTTCTAATGTAACATCTAATATTTAAGGTAATTTACCTATTTGAGTTTTATTTTTGCTCCGGTTTGATTTGTTTGGACTTTTTGAACTTCCTGGATCCTGCAGATAATGATAAACACACCGAACACCGGCTTTTGATCTGAATGTAGAGAAATTTGACGTTTAATGAATCACATGAACAAGCAGCGAAAAAAATAATAATAAAATCCAACATTTTTCCTAGTCAGTGAACTCCTCACCAGTGTTTCATACAGCAGATCTTCCTTATGGAGTTTTGGACTTCCAGACTCAGCTTGCCAGCTAATCTTTAACTATCATTTTGTTGAATCTGTATCGGTGTGTCTGTTTTGTTTTCATCTGCAGATTCCCGTTTTTAATGGACGGTAACGTCTCTGTCGTCCTTGATCCAATCAGCTGGCGGCACACCTTTTCTGTCCTGTTAACACACAAACGCTGTAATCCAGCAGTAATCTGCCTGAGTCACTGTTTTAATCTGAACCACATGGCTGTGTAGTCCTTTCACCACTCTGTGTGTGTGTGTGTGTGTGTGTGGGTGTGGGTGTGGGTGTGTGTGGGTGAGAGAGAGAGAGAGCGAGAGAGTGAGACGTAGCTTATTAAAGAAGGACCAGCAACACGGTGTGGTCTGATCATCAAAGTTCAGCCTGCCAGGTTTCTGGTGTGTGTGGAGATTTAAACGTGTCATCTGCATAGTGATGAACCCCAAACATTACACTCCTCCCACTCATGACCTTTAATCCCTTTGGCCACACCTTCAGCAAACACCTGATGATCCAGCTGAGAGAGGTCATGATGATGACATCATCAGATGTAAAAGCAGAAGTTCTCTGCTGTCTCCCTTTCGATTTAATCTTTATCTAATCTTTCTATTTATGTCCTTATGTCGACATAAGAAGACACATGTTCATATTTTTCTGCTTGAAATTCCCTCATCAAATATAACAAATATAGTTACAGTAAAGCAGTCTCTGTTACCATGGAGATCTAGGGTCCAGTCTCTGTTACCATGGGGATCCAGAGCCCAGTCTCTGTTACCACGGAGATCTAGGCTCCAGTCTCTGTTACCATGGAGATCTAGGGTCCAGTCTCTGTTACCATGGAGAACCAGAGCCCAGTCTCTGTTACCATGGGGATCCGGAGCCCAGTCTCTGTTACCATGGGGATCTAGGGTCCAGTCTCTGTTACCATGGGGATCCGGAGCCCAGTCTCTGTTACCATGGGGATCCGGAGCCCAGTCTCTGTTACCATGGTAACCAATAATCCAGTTTCTGTTATTGTGACAAGAACCCATTTAAAGCAATCCTTCTTTGTAATTTGGAGATTTCAGATGTTCAACTCAACAATAAAGCTCTTTGCATTCCTGCACTCCAGTTCTGATGATGAGGAAGGACCTGGTTGTGTGTCACTGTCATGCATGCTAACTGTCTGGTTTCTCTCTCAGTCTGGGCTCAGCAGCTCTGCGTTTCTGCCTGGCAGACTCCAGGTACACAAACACACTCCTGTAACATAACAGAACTGAGTCATCACATGAGAGCAGAACTTTTTTTTAATTTGTGTGATAAATTCCTGGTACACACACACACACACACACACACACACACACACACACACACACACACACACACACACACACACACACACACACACACACACACACACACACACGCACGCACACACACTACTTTTTGATGTCCGTCCCAAACCAGATGGTAGTGATCTGAACCAGAACCGATTAGAGGTGCTTAGTTTACTCATGCTAGTCCTGTTGCTGTGATTCGACCAGCAGGGGGCGCTGTCTGATGCAGCACCTGATCCCTCTGCAGGTGAGAAAGGTTTGGTTCCACTAACTCGTCTCATCACCAGCTGGAAGTATTTTCATCCTCTTCTTCTTGTTTTTATTTATTTAATGAAACTTTTGTCTGTCTGATTCTCTCGGTTTAATATTAAGTTCCATTTTACAGAACCCGCCCTGCTGGTTCTGGTTCTGTACAACTTCTGCCTCAATCTCTCACAGCTTTTAATTTTTAGGATTTCATTTATGACAAAAAAATGGTATTACCAGAACTCCTCTAGCTGAATCGGACTGTTCTGGTGGTTCTGGGTCTGTTTTTAATGCTTCGAGCCCGGGACGAGTGCAGCAGCAACAGCCTAGGGTCCAGTCAGCCTTTAATCATCAGAACCTGAAGAACAAGATCAAACAGAACCTGTTAAGCCCAGCAAGCTTCAGAAAGTCCTACGAGGTTTTGCAGGGCAGTGGACTTATGGCCCGTTTTCAGAATCAAACGCTGTTCTGTTCTGTTAAGGGTTGGTTTGGTTCTGGTTCTGTCTGGAGCTGGTCATTAACCTGATTGGCTGACTGGCCCCGCCCCCTCCAGCTGGTTCATGGACGGAATATTAAGAAAATCACAACCGGCTGGTTCTGGAGACAGCTCTGGTTCAGTAGGAGGTTCTGGTTCTGGTTCAGTTGGAGGTTCTTTAGGCTTATTCCCAGTCAGGGAATTGATCCAGTAACTGAGCGATAAAAGCCCAACAGAACCGGCGCTGTTCTCAGCCTCTAAAAGCTTTTACTCTGCTAATGGACTCTCTAACGACCTCTCTGGGCCGGGTCGGTTCTGTCATGATGACCTCACATTCCCATTATGCATCAGTCCAGCCTCTGAAGGGCGTGGCTAACCCGACAGTTCTGTTGGATGCTTTTGGACCGTCGGCGCTGGTTCTGTTTGTAGACGTCATGCTGAATGTTGTTCCTGCTCACAAGCTAACGGGTCGCTCCTCTCTTCCAGTGGACAAGAATAGAACCCGGGAGGTGCCGGCCCGACCCAGCAGCATCAGCTCCCCAGTCGCAGCAGGACACCAGCAGAACCAGCACCTTCACCCAGCTGAGTCGGTAGGTTCTGCTTTTAGAATCCAATTTAAATTTAGAAGCAGAACTGAACAGAACCAGATTGTCCATTTAGTCTGGTTCTGGTGGACTGGCTGGTTCTGGTGGACTGGCTGCATGTTTTGAATGTCCTGCGGGAGGTCAGGGATCGGTTTGGGTTTATCTGAACTAAAACCTGTCCCACTGATTCTGTTTGTCAGGTTCCAGATGTTTTGAATGCAAACATCCCAGTGAAACCAGCTGTTTCAGAACCGGGCCCGGATGCTGCCAGCACCACTTCCAGTGGACCTACTAGTTCTGGGTTTAAAACCAGGACCGGATCACGGTCCAGCCCTAAAGCTGGACCCCGCCTTCAGAATGCATCTCGACCCGGAGTGGGCGCGGCAGAGGGAACGGCCGGGTCCAAACAGAATCAGAACAAAGAGCAGCTGGAGAAGAAGAACCAGGCCATCGTCCAGCTGAGGAAGATTCTGGTCCAGGGGAACCGGAAGGTGGAGGCGCTGGCCGTCATCATCCAGCAGCTCTTCACCGAGGTACCAGATACTGGTTCCATTCAGGTCTCTAAAACCCATCTGGTACCAGAACCTGGACTGGGACAGAGACAAAAAACATCAAAGGTCCAAAAACAAAACAAATTCTCCACAAACATCAAAATATTCAAAACATAAAACCGCAAAATCTTTAATAATATTTCAGCTTCTCTTCAAAACAGTTTAGCATCAGAACCGGTTCTGCTTAAAGGTCCGATTCACTTATTTACCCGCTCGCTCACTCACTCACTCACTCACTCACGACCTGCATTGAATGTGATAAAAGAAACTGTTTTATTAGTCAGGTTTAAGCAACATTTTGAGCTCTTCTGGCCACCGTAGTTTGATTTGATCATATTCTCAGAATCTGAATCTGGACCTGAAAGTTCTGCTGTAGGAAAACGTGTTCGTTTTTCTGGACAAGGAGCCGATCCGCTCTCTGTGAGGCGGTTCTGATTGAGCTTTCAGACCCAAAATAACTTTTTGGTCAAGTTTTATTAACCAGATTTCCTCTTAAAACGTGAGGGCTTCTAATAGCTGACCACTGGGTTTTCCAGAACCAGAACCAGTTCATGTTCATTTTAATAAGAATCAGAGATATGTTTGAGTTCTCAGGCTGCTGATTGGCTGAGAGCAGCAGGATGTTCAGAACCGGATCCGTAAATATTTGCTCTCGTCAGCAGATCAAACACAAACCATCCTTTCAAAATAAAAGCTTTACCTCTGAGACATTTCCTGTTAGGATCTTTCTGCTCTGTGCCGGTCTCAGTGGGGCCTTGAGTCAGTTAGTCAGAACCAGTCAGGTGTCGGTACCGCCGTTGGACCCAGAAGGCTCGGCCCGTTCCACCTCTCTTAAGATGTCCGAGTTCTTCAGCTGTTTGTGTTCAGAGAAAGTGGGTCATTATCCCTTATCAGGTGTGTGTGTGTGTGTGTGTGTGTGTGTGTGTGTGTGTGTGTGTGTGTGTGTGTGTGTGTGTGTGCGCTGAAGCATGAGGTCTTATCTAATCTGCTGCATGCTTCAAACGAGACAAAAGGATCCATGCCCCCCCCCCCCCCCCCGGTGATGATTACGACATCAGAACTGTTTGATTCTGATAAAAATTTAACTACATATTTTATGTAAATTTACTATTTGTGATTTTCAGAATTAAAGCTGCAATTGGAAAACAAGTTGGCTTAAAGAGCAAGTCACCCCCAAATCAACTTTTTTCTGCAGATAAACATCGTAAACGAGTGTCTAATCGTGCTGTAGACGCCTGTAGTCAATAATTTGGTGCTTTAGTGCATCGTAGTTAAAATGTAAATATTCTGCCTAAACTCTTCAGTGTTGTGCCCTCTTCAGGTAAAACCTCTGCACTACATTTGAATTTAAATCTGCCATCGCTATTGGCTAAGAAGTACCTTATGACGTTAGCAGGTACCATATGATGTCACAATGCCGCTGTGAGCCTGTGTGTGTTTGTGTTTGTTAGCGGCTCCGCCCTCTTGGTCTGCCAGGCAGCGCCTCCTTGTGGCTCATTTTACAAACAGGAAATGGGATTGGAGTTACTCTGGTAGGGGGTGACTTGCTCTTTAAACATAGTTTTCATGCCTTTTAACAACGTTCTATCATTCTGTAGCTACAATTATGTTGTGTTTAACACAGAGCTCGTTAGCAGATTCACCACAGCAGCTTTAAAACGTAATATTTTAAACTTAAAGATTCTGGTTTGTTTCCACTCAGTCACCGGGACCCCCCCACCCCCACCCCACCCCCATTAAAGGTTCTGATTGGATAATCTTAACCTAATCCCGATCCTCACACCATCATTTGACAGAAATGATGCAGAATAGACTAAAATTAAACAGAAGCAGGAATGGTTTGAATCCAGATCCTCTAGTCTGACAGGGTGGAGGAGGGGAGGGAGGAGCAGGAATTACTGGCATTCCGATCAGAGACTGTAGAAAGAGATTCCGATGTGTGTTTTAGACCCAAACTGGAGGAGGAGGATTGCATTGCAGGGGAGGAACAGGTAGAGCAGAAGGAGGAGTGGCTCAGAAGAGGAGGAGTTTAGGTTCAGATGTGACGGACAAGCAGGGAACAAAAGCAGCTGTTCGCTGTGTTTGTGATAGAAATGGGATCAGCGGAAAGTAAAACACACTCCGAGCCCAGGAAAAACCCCCATCAGCGCCGCAAGAAGAGACGTAAGGTTGGTCTGCTCTCCTCCTCTTCCTCCTCCTCCTCCTCCTGATGTTTTAGAAACGTGAGGTGATTCAGAAGCTGCCAACTCCTTATCTTCAGATGGTTTGTGGAAACTCGACACGGATCACTGGGATCATAACGGGCTCTAGTCTGGAGTTCTTTCATCTGTTATCAGCTCAGCTGATCTTGGATCAGATCAGCAGGTCCACAGGTCGGCAGGTTCTGTTCTTCAGTGTGCGCGTGTGTGTTTGTGTGTGTGTGTGTGTGTGTGTGTGTGTGTGTGTGTCATCAGAGTTAAATACAGACTCACTGAAAAAAAAGAATTTGTACCTAAATAATTTTACATTTTCTAGATGATCAATCTTCCTCCAACACACACACACACACACTCACACGCACACACACACACACACACGCACACACACACAGGGTGAAAACAAACTCTGATTCTGTCGCTGATCTAAACTGGTCTGGAGCCCTCAGACAGATTTCCAGGTCCTTTTTGGAACCTGAAGCCGATTCCATAAGAGATCCGTCTCTTCTGGTTCAGGTTGGAGGACTTGTCAGCCACATGAAGCCGAGATGTTCCAGGAGACCTTCAGAGATCAGGAAACCTGGAAATACAGAAATAATTTGACTCTTAAATCATATTAAAGCTTCCCTTCATTTTCAGTGTCAGGAAATAAGGAGTCAACTTCAATAAAGCTGCAGCAAAACAATATTTTTTGTATTTCTGAGGTTTGGACTTAAGATCTAATTAAAACAAGTCAGACTCCGAGTTTTGATACATTTATAATGTGTATGTTTATGTGACAACGTTCCCAATTATCCCAGATTCATCAGATTTCCAGAGGAGCAGCTGTGAGTTTCAGTTCTGGAATTTAAAACCTGAGAAGTCCAAACAGAATCTCCTTTTCTCTCTACAGCGTGAAGAAACACTGAAGAAGAAGAAGGAGCTGTCGCTAGAGCTGGGCACGCTCCGAGATGAGCTGGGTGAGTTTTCCCAGCACACACACACACACTTCCCTCTGCAGGCGTCTATTTGCATGCTGAACACTCAGAACAACGGCTGCTTCAGGTCCGCTGATGTTTGTATTCCTGCAGCTGCTGCTCAGCGTGTCGATGGAAGATCCTCACAGGTCATGACCTGCAGTCATGTCTGTCACCTGCAGGTTTATGATTCAGAAAGACTCGAGCATCCGCATCAGTAAGCTATCAGGATTCAAACGTCAACACGTCCGAGTGAGAACTAAACAGCTGAAAGTAAAACTGGAATCCAAATAGATTCAAAACAAAACTTTACCTGGAGGTTCTCCCACTGCTGAACTGAGCAGATCGTTTGGTTTGGTCTAAAAAGATCAGATCGTTTGGTTTGGTCTGAACGGATCAGTTCTGAGGGGACATGGACGTTACAGAAGCAGGTAGCAGGAAAGGAAAGCTGTGGATCAGGAAAATGGTCAGAACACATTTAAAATCTTTTATTTTTCATAAATTTATATTTTTCCGACCTTTGTTCTGATCCGTAAAAAACTTTAGTGATTAAAATCCTAGTTAAAGGTGAACAAAACATAAGCAGACTCGGTCGTTAGAGAAAATTATTAGTGTGTGTGTGTGTGTGTGTGTGTGTGTGTGTGTGTGTGTGTGTGTGTGTGTGTGTGTGTGTGTGTGTGTGTGTGTGTGTGTGTGTGTGTGTGTGTGTGTGTGTGTGTGTGTGTGTGTGTGTGTGCGTGTGTTTTTGAGGTGTGTGTGTGTGCGTGTGTGTGTTTGAGGTGTGTGCGTGTGTGTGTGTTTGAGGTGTGTGCGTGTGTGTGTGTTTGAGGTGTGTGTGTGTGTGTGTTTGAGGTGTAGGTGTGTGTGTGTGTGTGCGTGTGTGTTTGAGGTGTGTGTGTGCGTGCGTGCGTGCGTGCGCGTGTGTGTTTTTGAGGCGTGTCTGCCTGGACTCTGTGTTTGGCAGGACTCCAGCTCTCTGTCACTCCGAGATTAACTTTAATGATCTAAAATGTTTTCTAACTCGCTCATCAGCTGATGCTAAAGTACCGATCACAAATCTGACATAAGTGAGTTTAGTACCTTCAGATTTGATGTTTCAAATGTCGATTTCAAATGTTTGAGTTTCCATTTTTTCTTTCAGAACAGAGAAAAAAATTATTTTGTTTCCTCAAAAAATATTTTACATAAAAACAGGAGAAAGAAAGTAAACCGGGTCTGAGGGAATCTAAAATAGATGAGTGACATTCTGCCGTTGAGGGCTTCCGGATCAGGAATCTGGATCAGGAGTTCTGGTCTGGATTTAGGGCCTGGACCGGATCAGGAGCTTTGGTCCGGAACGGGGGCCTGGACCGGATCAGGAGTTTTGGTCCGGATCGGGGGCCTGGACCGGATCAGGAGCTTTGGTCCGGAACGGGGGCCTGGACCGGATCAGGAGCTTTGGTCCGGATCGGGGGCCTGGACCGGATCAGGAGCTTTGGTCCGGATCGGGGGCCTGGACCGGATCAGGAGTTGTGGTCCGGATCCGGGGCCTGGACCGGATCAGGAGTTTTGGTCCGGATCCGGGGCTCCTGATCCGGGGCCTGGACCGGATCAGGAGTTTTGGTCCGGATCGGGGGCCTGGACCGGATCAGGAGTTTTGGTCCGGATCGGGGGCCTGGACCGGATCAGGAGTTTTGGTCCGGATCGGTGGCCTGGACCGGATCAGGAGTTTTGGTCCGGATCGGGGGCCTGGACCGGATCAGGAGTTTTGGTCCGGATCGGGGGCCTGGACCGGATCAGGAGGTTTGGTCCGGATCGGGGGCCTGGACCGGATCAGGAGGTTTGGTCCGGATCGGGGGCCTGGACCGGATCAGGAGGTTTGGTCCGGATCGGGGGCCAGAGGAACACAAATCTGTCGGTCTGAATCCATCACGTTTATTTTTCCTGTCGCCAAGACCGTCGGCACGTCTGCTCACACACAGCTGAGGAATTTAAGCGATGTTTAAACCTCTGCTGTAAACACACACACACACACACACACACACACACACACACAGATGGGGAGGAAGACAACCTGTTTGTTCGGACTTTTTACAGTTTAATGGATGTAGAATAACTTCATTCCTGCCGCCACACATCCTTCTGAACTTTCACACTGTCGCTGGATCACACACACACACACACACACACACACACACACACTGTGGTGTAAAGCACATTGGAGTCCTCCGACTCTGAATGGTGCTATGCAAGTGTGGATCATTTATCATAGATCCGTGTGTTTGTTCCTGAAGCGGTGGAGAACCACCTGCTGAGTCCAGAAATCGCCCCGTGCTCTCAGCGGAACCGGGTTCAGCTTCACGGACGTGCCGGGAAGGCTTTAATCCCGTTTACTTCCACCTGCCGTCCAGTTTCTCACCCAGAGATTGTGAGCTGCTTTCAGCTGCTGAGTTTGTGTGTCCGTCGCCACGGTGACCGGCGCTCACATAGAGCTCCATTGAGACAAAACACCAACTGTCCCAACTGGGCCAGCTGTTACACACAGCTACATTCTAGTCTGGACGCATGGAGGGAAAATGGGCCGGAGATGGTTCCAGTGAAACTCTCCAGGTCCGGCTGGTGGATCAGACCTAAACCGGTTAATTCCCGGTGATTCTGATGGAGGGTGGAGAGGGAGGAGGCGTGTGTCTGCTTGCAGCCATGACAGGAATGCTGCATACCTCCGAGCTGACTTACAGATGTTTCAAGGTTGGATCAGCATCTGCTGCAGGATTTATTAGACTGGAATGTGGTCTAAACACACACACACACACACACACACACACACACACACACACACACACACACACTCACTGCTCCAAAAGCATCAAAGAATCCTAACTCTCCCTGTCTGTGCTCCACCTAGTGGCCTCATCCCAGAAGTGCGAGCGTCTGCAGAGGGAGAAGGAGGAGACGTGCTCCAGCTTAGAGGAGAGTCTGAAGAGACTGGAGGTGCAGCATCAGGAGGAGCTGGTTCAGCTGGAGGACAGGTGAGGGATCCATGATCTGCTGCTCTCCCAGTCTGGGCGTCATGGCAACATGTGTGTTATTTACCACTGGTGGCTGTTAGAGTTGCCACGGCAACACTTTAGCCCATAGGAATGTGTGGAGATTCATGGAAAGCGAACTATTTTACCAGACTATCAGCTACTGAAGGATCGTTACCTCAGGATTCAGCCACTCCATGCCTCTAGTGGGTTTTTATGGGATTACCTGGTTAGTGAGAGGTCACATGACTCAGCATCTTAGCAAACAAGGTCTTCCTGCTTTTATATCTTTCACAATGTAATCATAAATAAAATATCAAACATGAGTTAAAACGGGATTCCTCAGCTTTTCCGTTTTAAACTAATAAATAAGGAAGCTGTAACAAATCTGGATAAACTCCGTAGGAACACTAAACCCGACGGGATGGCTCCAGGACCTTCTGCTGATGTTTGTTTCTGCCTCTCTGCCTTTAAAATGCAGCTGTTGCTAATTTCTGTCACTAAGGGCTAAAAAGGAGTTTGTCCTCCAGCTCCAGAGTTCGGGACACGGGGACTGGAACGGGTGCATTTGGTGGCAGGAAGCATCCGAATCTCTCTCCTAATATCACATTTTTCCGTGTTTTTCTAGCTGACGGGAGCTAAAAGTCCAGGATTTGTTTCTTAATATTTATATTTTCATACCTTTTGTTTCCAGGTTGAAGAGTTTTTATCAGACAGAATGGGACAAAGTCCACCAGGTGTACCAGGAAGAGGCGGATCGATGTCGGACGCTGATGGAGCAGCAGGTGAGTCTGTTCTGAGCTCTGATTGGTTCTTGTTGTTAGACTGATCGCAGCTCCAGTTTCTGCTTTTTCAGTCTCAATTTGATGTTCGTTTGGATCCTTCAGGTGGAGGACCTGAGGGTCCGACAAGAAGCAGAGAAGAAGAACCAGGAGGAGATTCACAGCCAGAAGATGGAGTCTCTGAAACGGGACTACGAGACCTCCTTACAAGGTGACTTCCTGATCACGAAGAAGCGGGTTCGGGCTGCGAGACGCTTCAGCTCTAACGATTAAACGTTTCTGGACTGTGACTCTTGGTGTTTCAGAGCTGAAGAGGATCCGGCAAACGGATCTGGAGGATCTCCAGAAAACCATGAAGGAGACTGAAGCTTCCCTCTCTGTGAGTCACTCGGAACGCCGTGTTTCCAGACTTTAGTTCTGGATCAGGAGTTCGCCAGTAATTTTGAAGGATTCAGTGGACTTGGGCTGGTTTTTGGCCCAGTTCTGGTTCTAGATCCTTTTAGGGCAATGAATGTCTTCCAGGTCAGGCTCAGCTGAACGTTCTGTTCGTGGTTCCTCCTGCAGGAGAAGATCTCTGAGCTTTCAGCAGAACGGGAGGACCTGAGTGAGAAGCTGCGAGCAGAAGAGGAGCGGAGGCAGCGGATCCTGAGCGACAGAAACCTGGTAAACCCATCCAGAACCAGAACTCTTTGTGTTCAGCAGGCGGCGCCGTAGCAGGTTCACACGGACTCGTAATCAAACCAGAACCGCAGACACGTTTCCGAACATCTGCTCCAGTCATTTTTACAAAAAGTATTTTTTAAATGGTGGTAAAAAAAATAAAAATACATTCAAACTTTCTAAAAATAATAAAGTCGAGAAAAAAATCAAAAGCAAGCGTAAAAAACAAGATGCTTAACACGATTTTCCTCATTTCAACATTTTCTGATATTTTAAGTATTAAAATCTGGTTCTGAACACTGCAGCATGAAAGATGGAGTCACTTAGCTGGAGAGAACCGGGCCCAACTGGATAGAACCGCTGGGTAGAACCGGGTCTAGCTGGATAGAACCGGGCCCAACTGGATAGAACCGCTGGGTGGAACCGGGCCCAACT